GGAAGACAGTATGAAATGTTTTAATTATTGAAACTATCCTACCAATTCAATTTGAGACTGTCTCATTGCTATTTGTTTCTCAATAAAATTATGGGAAAAAATGGAAGGGAACATATATTGAGAAAGGGGAGTCTGAACTGGATGAAGATGAAAACTGAAGGTAACAGATTAGAGTGGTTTATACTTTTAGTTACGGCTAAGATTGTAGGCATGAGGATATAATAAAATGGAAGTGTGTAACTGGTCTGTTTTAAGACTATTTAGACTTAAGGGTCAAGTTGCAGTCCTTCAAAGTTTTGTCTAACATATTATGTGAATTTTAAAAATTATCTCAATTATATGAAAATAAAATAACCTTGTACATTTTTCTTTCTATTTTTTTTTTGTTGTTGTTGTTCTGAGAGAAAATATCTGTGTAGAACCCAGGTTAGCATCAAATGAGCTCTTTCTGTCTCAGCCTCTCAAGAACTGGGATTATGGGTGTACACTGCCATGCTTGGCTACGTACATGATTTCTTTAAAAAAGCCTCCTATTGTACAGTCTTTCCTGACATGTGACAGAAAAGGTTCATGGTGTTTGTGATTGAAATAAATTCACTTTTCTCTAAGTACTAGATTTCTAATAGATAAGAGCTGGATTAAGTTTATTATCTTTGAAAATAGTTTTATAAATTCTAAAGCCATATAATATCAGCCATGATTTAAGAAAAGATATTTTAGGCAAAAAGGATAGAGATATAGTAGATACCTACATTTTCTTTTGTATCACCTAATGCATGCTTTCAATACCTAGTCAGATAGGTATTGAAAGGCACCAACACAATTCTCCTTGCTTTATCAATCCCCACTTGTTTACCATTCTCTCCTTTTTTCTTTCTACTTCTGCTCTCTTCAGTATGTTTTTCCCTTCTCATTACTTGCATTTACCCAAGGTAATTGCTAAAAGTTACATCCATTGCTTATCTCCACCAGTAATGTTGAAAGCTAAGAAATTTTACTGTCCCATCTATTAAATTATTAAAATTACGTGAATTTCCTCTTCTCTCTTATTGTCTTCTTAAACAATACTGTGGACCCAAACTCAGGGGAGAGTTATAGAAATCTAAAAAAAAAAAAAAAGCTTTTCAGTTGTAGGTGGTAGTTCAAAAGAAAGGAATTGTCTAGCTTTGTATTTATATGTTGTTGATTAGTTAGCATTCAGCTTTATAATGTTATGTGAAAGTCTAGATTCAACTGGTAAAATAATTGCTTGTTAGATTTCATAATTGCTTATTATAATGATTTTGTATCTCAGACTTTCATTGTGTCTTAGCCTTCCACTGTATATGAATCTGCGTTGTTTACTTGACCTTTATTAAGTTAAGTGGTATGATTTCTCTAACAGCAGTGATATATAATAACATACTCTTATTTTTTAAAACATAGGTTTGGACTGAGCAACAAATTTGAATCAGAATTTCCTTCTTCATTAACTGGAAAAGTGAGTGTTTCAGTTATGTACTTGCTGTTTGTCTTAAAATTAAGTATTTCCTAGCAATTTAGAAAGCTTGTATGCTAATGAAACATGTTTATTGACATGTTGTTTCTTAAACTTTTCCTGTAGGTAGCTCCAGAAGAATTTAAAGCCAGCATCAACAGAGTTAATAGTTGTCTTAAGAAGAACCTTCCTGTTAATGTTCGTTGGCTACTTTGTGGCTGCCTTTGTTGCTGCTGCACTTTAGGTTGCAGTATGTGGCCAGTTATTTGCCTCAGTAAAAGAGTAAGTTGAATTATGTTTTAAATTTAGAAGTAGTTACATAATGTGTTTTAATTTTTTGTTTTGAATAAAGTACCTTATTCTGGCTGTCTAGCACTCAAGAGACTGAGACCTGTGAGTAGAAGACTAGCCTGAGCTACCTAGCGAGAACCTGTCTCAAAACGAAACAAAGTAAAACAACCAAAAAGTACATTGTTCTCTTTGAAAATAACTGATCTCATACGAGTGATTAAGTAAATATTATATATCTAAATATTATAGGAGCAATATAAAATCTTAGAAATGAAATTTTTTAGGAATAACAAGACAGCATTGTTAGTATATATGCACAAAAAAAAATGGTGGTATAATGTGTTCAGGAAGTTCAGTGTTACTATTTATCCTCATGACCTCCTGTCTTTGCTAGTCTTTCAAGACCCTAGTTGATACAACTGTAAGAGAGTAATACTTATCTGCTAATTGTAAAAGATTGGTATAAGGATAAAATATTTGTAAAATTTTTAGCTGAACAGTTGAAGTAGTTAATATTGATAATAGCATTATTACTGATGTTAGTACTTGTAGAAAAAACAGTGATTACAGCGATTATTTGTAAGTTAATAAGATTATAGGGAATTCTTTTTGTGTAAGCTTTCTATATTGAACACATATAACAGACTTATCAGAAAAATAGAAGTCATAATTTTGACTGTGTATAATAAATCCTCAAAATGTTGATAGATATGATAAATTAGTGTAGAGAATATTTTTTTTCCCTAGTACTGGGGACTGACCCAGGGTTTTGTGCCTATTAGGCAAGTACTCTACCATTGGGTTAGATCCCCAGCCCCTTTTATTTTTTCAGCCAGCATCTCACTAAATTGCTCTGTTGGCCTTGAACTTGAAATCTCCTGACTCAGTCTTCCAAGTATAGTAACTGAGATTACAGGCATATGTCATTGCTCTTGGATTGTTAAAATTGCTTTTCACATGCTATTTACATCTAAATATGAAATACTTTTAAGTTGAAATTGAATGATTTTGTATTGTAGCTTTTCACTGCCAAATAGTAGGAAATGTGGGTTATGCAACAAAATATTTTAGCAAATACTTTTTATTGATAGGAAATAATAGGGCTAGGGAGATAGTTCAGGGGTCTAAGCATCTGCCTAGTGAACACAAGGACCCACGTTTGATCCCTGAGGCCACATGCGCTGCTGGCCCTGTGGTCCTGGGGAAGCTGAGACAAGGGGGATCACTATGTATGAGCTATGTAGCAAGACCATGTACCAAATAAATAAATGAAAGATTTAAAAAATAATAAAACCAAAGAATGGAAGTGATATCTTTTTTTGTAATATTTATTTTCTCTGTATTTAGGACAGGGTCTACAGGGTCCTACTATGTAGATCAGACTTGTAGGGATTCTCCTGTTTCCAGCCTCCCAAGTGCTGGGATTGCAGGTGCGTGCCACCACACTCAGTCTTAATCTCTGTCTCACCAAGCCCTGCAGGCGGGGCCAGTGCAGCATGCTAGGGATTGAACCTGGCCTCTGTGCTCTGCCTCAGCAAGCACTTTAGTCCTCTGAGCTGTCAGGCCAGCCCCTAATTTTTTTTTTTTTTTTTTGTAGTTGTCATCAGATCACTTCTAGAGCACAGAAAACTGTTTTCTTTTCCTTGTCTCTGGTGATCTTTGGATCTATAGTTGTAGTTGTTGGCCTTTTGGTTCAGATTTTGTTTTAATATTTAGGTATTCCCATTGTTTAAATGTTGCTTTATCTCAGTGGAGTTGGTAAAATTACTGTCATTTAATGCAAAGAACCTGAGGGCCTTAATACCTTAGAAACCTTAAATTAATTTTATTTATTTGTGTGTGTGTCTGTCTGTCTGTCTGTGTGTGTGTGTGGCCAGCTCAGCCCACCAGGGGGCGGGGCTGGCTGGCATGTGGTGCTGGGGGATTGAACCGCGGTCCCTGTGCTCTGCTAAGCTTGTTTTAAGTAGGTGCTTTAGACCACTGAGCCATCTCACCAGCCCGCTTAAAAACCTTAAGACATCCAGCTTTTTGTATGTTTGGAGATCCTGTTTTTCTACTTTGAAAAATAAGTAACACAATATCTTGCGACATCTGTAGAAGTAAGTTGTGGAAACAAAGGTAAATATCTTTCATTGTATGCATGCCTTTCAATTTAAAAGCATTATTGATGTGCCTTCACTGGGCCCGTTTTACTTGAAACATAAGATGGGCTGAGTTTTCGTGCTTATTCCATCTGTATTCCTAGCATGTGCTTTTCACTTAGCACTGTGGTATTAGGTCTGAGTGCTCTCTTTCTGTCTATATGACTGGATGCAACATTTATTTACGCATTTAATTTTTTATATACATTTAATTTTATATGGACTTTAGTACCTAGTGAGCATAAAGAAATATAACTACTGCTTAAGAAAAGAAGGCTATGTATTTCCTGTATTACATGTAAACTATTATTGAACTAGGAAGGTTGATACTTCATGGGTATACAAAATCATTAGAAGTCCCAGAAAAAGGGAAACTTTTTCTTTTTAATTTTTATGTATTTGGTACAAGGTCTTACTACATAGCTTAGACTCATAGTAATCCTCCTGATGCAGCCTCCCCAGCGCTGAGATTAGAGGTGTGCACCACCACACCCGGTCTTGGTGTCCGACTTGGCTCTGCATGCCCGGGATGGGGCCTGGCACAGGATGCAGTACTGGGGATCAAACCCTGGATCCTTGCACTTGCCTAAGTAGGCGCTCAGACTGCTGAGCTATCTATGCCGCCTGAGAAATTATTTTTTCTCTAGTACGGCAGATTGGACCCCATGCTTTTGTACTGAGCAACATTCCCAGCCCTCTTTATTTTTTTATTTTGAGACAGTCTCTCACTAAGTCTCTCAGCTCCCCAGGTGTGCTTGCTATCCTACCTCAGCCTCCCAAGGGTGCTGAGATTATAAGCATGCACGGACTGGAAGAGGAACTCACAAAGACAGAACAGTTTAGAGATGGAATGTTTTTACCTTTTTATTTGTTGCATTGATTTTTGGATATGATATTTTGACTAAAAATTATTTCTCCTTTTTGAATTTTGAGAGATTTCACTTTAATCACAAGCCAGGTGTGGTAGTGTAGGCCTGTAATCCCAGCACTCAGAGGCTGAGACAGGAATTTCAGATATGAGTTCAAGGTCAGTCTGAACTACATAGTGAGATCCTATTGCAAAAACAAAACCACAACATAACTAAAAATTCCTTGTCAAATGGGGCAGGTATAGTTTTTCTTTTTTTTTTTTTTTTTTGGTTCCTCGAATGCCTTCAGGGCACTTTTGGCCAGCGGGAGAGTTGTGAGGTTCAAACTCCAGCAACCTGAGGCTGACAGCTTTGTGGAAGCAGCCACTTAAAGGACTGAGCTAGGGCCAGGCCCCCAGGTATAGTTTTTCTAGTTTATAGCTTATTTCTTTTGTAGTCTCAATATCTTTGGCAGAGCTAAAGTTTTAAAGTCTAGCTTATCATTAAAAGCTAGACTTTTAGTCTGTCATATTTAAGCATTTCATAAACAAAGTCATGAAGATTTGCCCCTTTTTCTCCCTTTAGCATTTAGGTCTGTAATATGTTTTAACTCAGTTTTTATATAGGTATGATGGGTCAAATTTCATCTTTTGTTTGTGATTCTCTAGGTTTTCCAGCACCATTTGTTGAAAAGTCTGTATTTTGTTCCACTTAATTGCCATAATGTATTGTTAAAAATTACTTGATCATATTTGTGTGGGACTGTTTCTGGACTGTTTTATGTTGTTCTCATCTATATGTCTGTCTTGATTTTAATATCACACTTAATTTATTTACCATAGCTTTATAATAAGTTTTCAAATCATGTAGGTGAGTCTTACAAATTTGGTTTTTCTGAAGATTGTTTTGGTTATTGATTTCTTTGCCTTTAATGTAAATTTTAAAATCAGTTATGTTAGTGTCCACAACATGTGCTCAAAGTTTTTCTTGTGGCACTGGGGCTTGAACTTAGGGCCTTCACTTTGAATTACAACCACCCCCCATTTGGTTTTTACTTTGAGTGGTGGGATTCTCACTAAGTAGGCCAGACTGGGCTCAAATTCGTGATTCTTCTATCTCCACCTAGCAAAATGCTGGGGTTACAGGTTATACCATTGCACCCAGCTAAAATTCTGAGATTTTAATTGGAGATTGCATTCAATTTATAGGTCAACTTAGGGAAAATTGGCATCTTAATAATACAAAATTTTTTTATGTATTTGGTACAAGGTCTGTAGGTTCTACAGGGTCTTACTATGTAGATCAGACTCATAGTGATTCTCCTGTTTTCAGCCTCCCAAGTACTGGGATTACAAGTGTGCACCACCACACCCAGTCTCAATTTCCATCTCAGAGCACCCCACGGGCAGGGTGGCATGGCACACTGGGGTTTGATCCCCTCTGCCTAAGTAGGCGCTTTAGTCTGCTGAGCTATCTGTTCGATCTATAAGTCTTTATATATTACATTTTTGTTGTTGCTCAGTTCAGAATATTCCTAACTTTTCATCTTTAACTTATGTATGAAGAAATACATTGTTTAATCTCTAGATGTTTAGATTTTCTAGGAACTTTTGTTACTGATTTCTAGTTTATCTTATTGTGCAAGATCATACTTGATGTGATTTTACTTCTTTTAAATTTGTTGCCTTTGTTTTATGGCCTTAAATTTAATCTATTTTGGTAGTAGGCTATTAATTTTTTATTTCTATTTTAGCAGCTTTATTGAGATTATTAAGAGATATAGAGGGGCTGGGGAGATGGCTCAGTGGAATAATCGCTTCCCTGGCAAGCGCAAAGGTCTGAGTTCAATTCCCAGTTCTGCAAAAAAAAAAAAAAAAAAAGAGAGAGAGAGAGAGATAGAATAAATTGCATATATTTGAAATGTTCATTTCATGAATTTTGTCAAATATGTATGCACATATATGCATGTTTACACCAAGATAACGAACATGTTTACTATCCC